TCTCCTTACTGTAATCTGCCCTTAATACCACAGTGATATCACTGTTGCCAAAGTACTATTTTATCCTTTGTCATAAACCTTCAGTGCCCTTTGCCACCTATAGGATAAGTCCAAACTCCTCAGGCTGGCTTTCCACATCTTTCATATTTCCCCACACTGCTCAGCCAACCTTATTCTTACTGTATTTCTGCCAACTTGGGCTCTGTAATTGCTCCCCAGATACATTCAGTCTCACCTGCATGCTTTTGTATGTGGTGTTTTCATTTTCTGGAAATCCCCCCGCCTCAAATCCTTCTGTACATTTTTCAAAGCACATCCTTCTTCTATGAAGTGTTCTGCAACCCTTCTTACTAACTCATAACAAGCCCCTGTTCTTCTAAACACTTACTCACAATAAACACAAACACAACTCGTTTGGACACTCATTGCATACTCATTGTCAGACATCACTACCTGTTTTATATTTTTGTCTTCTGAACAAAACTAAGAAGCCCAGTACATTGCTGTGTAGATTGTAGGCCTCAAACGCTTTAACATGAAATGTGATTTCCTGTCAAGCATGAGAATGACCATTTGTGTTTTCCTCTCTACCTCTAGTCAAGTATCATCATGTGGGCAAACTGCTGAAGGAGGGGGAGGAGCCCACCGTGTACTCAGATGAGGATGAACCAAAAGATGAAAATGCTCGGAAAAATGATTAAAGCATTCAGTGGAAGCATATCTATTTTTGTATTTTGAAGAATCATTTGTAACATTCCAGTCTGTCTTTAAAACGTGGTGATTTCAATATTTAGAAAAGTTTTGAACTTGCTGTAAAATTTTTAAATTAACATCACTAGTGACCCGATAAAATTAACTTGTCTTAGAATGCATGATATGTTTGTGTCACAAATCCAGAAAGTGAATTGCAGTGCTGTAATACAAATGTTAGTACTGTTTTTCTTCTATCTGTAGTTAGTACAGGCTGAATCTACATTTGTTTTCCTGAGAGCAGGTAAAACTTGGGTATTTCCCTGAAACAGGTAAAAATGTAAAATGTGCGAAGTCCTTTCAAGCACCTAAAACAAAGGATCAACTTTTAGTCATGATATTCTCTAAAGACAGCAAATTTCTTATTTCTCAATTGATTTAGCTGCATGATTTCTGTTTTATCTACCTCTAAAGCAAATCTGCAGTATCTCAAAGGCTTTATTTAGTATCGATTAAACAGAGGTGTCCAGTAACAAAATGAAATTTCAAAGCTGGGCTTAGCTGGAAGAAATACATTAAATTTTTTGAGACAGCAGCTTCATTGTCCTTCAGACCCTCAGGAACACCCTCACTAACAGTAATCTATAGTGAGGATTAAAAACGGATCTGAACATTCAAAAGAAAGCTTTGGGGGAAAATCAACTGGCTTGCCTCAAAACCTAAATACATGAAAAAGATTGTAGGACTATCTTCCCAATTCCTGTATTCATGGTGGGGCAATGGTTATTTTACACGATCTGACATGAGAGAGGCATGTAGAACAGGTGTTTGCTCTCCTGAGAGCCTTCACACATAGCCCCGAAGAATGAGGAAACACTACACATCAGTAGCCAAGCAGTTTTTGAAGAAGTGAAGTATATTCATAAGGTAACAGTTACTCTTCTGTTGTCACAAAACTATAGCCACTGCAAGAGTAGTAAAGTGTCTAGATCTTTGACACTGGTCTTTTGGTTAACAATAAACTTAGCCTAAGTAGACTGTACAGTTGTATGAATTTGTAAAGGTATATGAACAACTAGTGAGGTTTCAAACTCTTGTAATTGTAGTTGAATAGTATTTTCATTGTATTTTCTTGTGAACCGTGTTTAATGGTTTTACCTCAAATCAGAAAACAAAATGAAGTGCTTTGGTCAGTTAATAAAATAGTTTTACCCAGTATAGTGTGGTGGGTTTTATTCTTTTAAAACCTTAATCTAAGAACCAGATTCAATCATTTTACTTTATCTTAATACTAAGTTTCACTTTTGAGTGTTTTTTTGTATTCCAAAAGAAACGAGAGCTAAAACTTCAGATGCCTCACACCACAAACCAAATACCAGCTTGTCCTGTTAAGAAATGGTGAATTTAATTGATTTTTGGTGACTTGTCAAATTCTGCCTCTTTAAATCAGAACTTTCTAAACTCAAAGGCAGACCTCTACATTTGAGGTCTATATATAGCAAGGGTTTTAAGGGGTAATTTTACAGAAGGCATTGTTACCAAGTGCCAAGGCACGGTTTTGTTTTGTTTTTGTTTTGATGTATCTGATCAGGAAAGTATTCAGGAAACCTTAGAGTAGCAAAGTTAATTCACTTCATGTCAAAAGGAGGATAGCAGATTTGCATATAGTCAGCTGTATGAACACAGACATATGATTATTCTGAATGTTAAGTGTTTTGTCCTTTTAAAGTTGGCAGTTTTCTGACAAGAGATGTACTCCCTGAACCAAAGAGGGCTGACAGCTTTGCCTTGTTTTATGTTATTAAACCATATTATTCCATGGTTTTGTTTTTAAACATGCCCCTGTCCCCAACTAGATTGCATTCAACAAATATTCGAGTTGCCTGTCTTGTGCCAAACAATGTTATGCATCCTCCTATGCTTTGGGGGAGGAGTGGGCGAGAACAACTTGGGCCACCTTTGCTGCCTGAAATCTCATTTAGATGTGAAGATTAGGCTACTCCTTTTCCAAAGTTAAACAGATCTGTCTGATGCCAACACGAAAACATCCAGAACCTATTTAAAGTGTCAATCCCAAATAGCCTGATTTCCCTCCATTCAGAACTAAATCAACATTGTGTTGACTATAGGTTAAAGGATATTACTATAAGGCAGGACTTTGATCTAAAAAACCGCAAATCCAGCTCACATATTTGTGAGGCATTTTATGTAAAAGGCGCCATTCAAGAAGATGAGGGAAGGGTTGCAACCACCTTGGGCCAGTGGGGGAAGTAGGAGAACATGTTTGCTCCCCACCTGCTTTCATCCAACCCCTGCAGAGACACTGTTCTCAGTACCAGCATCTCTGGGTTCTAAGCATTCTCTAAGTGTTTTCAGTATCTCTCCAAATCTGTGGCTTCTTTACATAATGTTACATTCACCTTACTACAGAGGGCCAAACATGCAAATCTGAAATCCAGAAAAAGCATCCATATAGCCCTTGCTGTGTCAGAAAAGCCCTTTGAACCCAACAAGGACCCTTTCAGCTCTCAAGTGCCCAAATTGGACTCTAAGGTACAGTCTGCCTTCATTGTATAAATAATACTTAGAGGCAATTTCTGTACATTTCATATGAAAATATAGTTAACTCGCGAATGGTCAAAGACTGATTACTGAGGCCCCTAGCTTCTCTGACTAGACACCCCATCCCACACCCACACTTGTTTTGGGACACTATAACTTCCACCAAGGGCTGAAAGGAAGAAAGGAGATTCCATGGATTCGATCCATCTGTTACCTTTCCATAGCACTGGTATAGCCTTGGCCGAAGGGAGAAGAGATTTAAGTCCAATATCATCATTTCAATTTATCCAAAATGAAAATAAAACTGGTTTCATGATCTCTGACAGTCAATTCCTATAAACTAGCATCATCAAGGGAGAAGTTGCATAGAAACAATATTGAAACTAGACATGCATATTTTCATAGAAAATGTTATTGTAGATGTCCAAAATTCCAGCCAATAATATGGTTAATGAACCAAGACTCTATTCACTATGGCAATTTTATTTTTAACTTATCTGAAAATTAAATATGTATTATTTCTCTACCAACACATGAGAAAAAGGATCAGTAAAGGTAGTGCAAGGCAGCGTACCACAGGTAGGAACTTACCCCCTCCCATTGGAATCAACAGAATTTACTTAAAAGTTTACATTTTAAAACAGTTTTGCAACAAATAAAAATACATTTATTTGATTCTTATTTTCAAAATTACCAGTGCACATGGCTTTCCACCTGAGAAATTCAAACAGATTGAACAAAAACACATTGACAAATTTTGACCTTTTTAAAAACACTATCAGCAGCACACACACAAAAAAAAACACCATGAAAACACCTATTTAAAAAGACAAAGTTTAAAGTTCAGGTGCTTACTTAATAGGACAGAAAAAAGGTACGAGGAAATATGTTTGCCCCACTTAAATAACAGCACAACAAAGAATAACAATGTTAACAGAAAGTGATGACAATATTTTCAGCTCCATTTCATTCCTTACTAAGCCATTCACTTGAAAAGTACGAGATAAATTGTTCTTTTCCTCTTTTAAATCCTATACAAAAAAAGAGGTTTACTCAAACCTAGAATGTGTTACAAGACATAAAAATCCAAGATTGTACAGAAAGTAAATATAAAACTACAGTATTTTTACTTACTTCTGGGTCCCAGGATGGTATTTAGTTAGCAAACAAACAAAAATATATAGATGTGACTTAGCACCAGTTTTATTATACCAAAAAAAAGAGCACATGCTGTTTTCAGCAATTCATTTTTTATTTCTCGTTACTGAGCAGCAAATTGCTTCCATGCTTAACATCTCTACAAAGAAAGATTATCAAATGACAAGAAATTGAGATTTTTGTTTCAAAACAAGTATAGCTGCTTTCATTACAAACCCATAATGTTCTTTTTTTTAAGATTTTTATTGGGGAATTGGCGGGATGGGAACAGCGCTGGGGAATTGGGGGAAGGGGAACAGACAAGTCACTGTCGTTTTTGTTCTTCAGTCTAGTTGTGGAGGACGTTGCTTCACTGGCCCAATTTGGCACCATCATTGATTGCGCTCTTCCCGGGCAAGGCAGATCCGTCGCTGGCTTCTGGACGGCCGCTCACTGCGGCTGCTGGCCGCTCACGCTGGCTGCTGGCTACATGCGGTAGCCCATGGCAACCCTGCAGCCTATGCCATCGCAGGCAACTCACGGCAGCCCAGCTCCAGGTTGAGCTGTTGTTCAGCATCTTAGCTGCAGAGGGCAGTGTCACTGGCCCTCATATGTGGGATCCGAACCGGGGCCCTCTGGCATCCCAATCCAGTTCTTAACCATCGCGCCACTCGGCCAGCCCACAAACCCATAATGTTCTTTGTTTCAATGACTTGAAACATGAAAAAATAAGGAGGCAGGGTCTCATTGGAGGAAAATGATATCTAGTTGCACAAAAGTTGTCTGACAAAATACAAGCTGTTGGTAGTTTGCTGCCCTGGACAACAGTGCTTTGAACATTAATAGTCATTGCTAGTCCTCAGAGGAGAAAAGGCACTCACCCCATGAGCGATTTTTCAGATTTGACAAGCCAAACCTAGTTTTGATGGCAGAGTCACTGGCTTGAAAGTGGAATTGAAGACAAGAGAGCCAACAAATCATTTCTCAGTTATTATCCTTATTAATAATAAACAATCTGCTACATTACATTCATTTCTGAACTTTTGCATGTACTAGCATACCTCTATTAAATGTGCTTAGAAGAGATCAATGAGACAACATGTGACTCTCACTTCAGATAAACTAGATTTTGTAGCCTCTTCAGATATCAGGTTGCTCAAAAGGCTGGTTATGAGCATATATCATCCTTTTTCATTCTGGGCAACCACACTGACTGGCATCCTACTTTGGCTGTGCCAGCTGGCTGGTACTTTTCTATCAAATTAGGATTATCGGAAATGAATCATGTCATATGATAATGTTGCCTTCCAATACTTCTGTGGATTAAAATCACCTTTTCCTGCTGCAGGTAGTCTAATTTCATTGATGTTTTCAATTGCCAAGTCAAGGTTGGGGAAAAAAGTTCATCTACTGCCCCTAAAGTCTAAATCCAATATAAGGCAGAATGAATCAGCTTTCAATAGAAGATGCACTGTGTTAAGATGTTAAGTCCTTATGAATCTATAAAATATCTCAATTTAAAAACATATTCAAGAAGTCCAAAACCAGTAGGTAAAAAGATAAATTGCTTGTATCAAGAGTTTACAAATCCTGCATATGTATGACTTACCCCAGGTAGAAAACTATGGGTGTTTCCTTCGACTCTTCCTAACTCCAAGGCATTATTGAGGATTGAGGAGGCACTTGTTACTGCTTAATAAAAGTCAGTTTGGGGATAGTCAGTGGCTTTTCATAAACTGATGTCACCCAACCCTGAGTGAAAGGATTACATAACCTAAAATGGAATATTGTCATGTCCTCTCTTGCCAAGTGCCATTACTGGTGCCCCAGTATCTCTCAATATTTCATTTTGCAAATCCCACTGGTTGTATCACCTCATTCCTGTTGCTTTTCTAGGCTGGAATGACATGGGTTCTTCAAAAATAACTCTGCTAATGGTCCACTGTCTGTTTAAGCCTCGACAATCTGAGCCCCTTTTAGATTCTTCTTCCAAGACTTTGTTTCTAAAAGGGCAACTCTTTGAGTTCTATGAACATATTAATAAGATTAATTTCCTTCTGATGGGTGTTCATGAAACCTTCAAATGTCATGAAGAAGTCTATTATATGTTCAAGCTGTTATCTCTCTTCTTTTATCTATAGGTATTTCTAGGTAAAAATTCAGGAAAGTTTGTTGTACATGGTGTTCTGACCAAATAAAAAAACATGTAAAAAGATCCTTATTTATTCACTGTTGTCCACTTTGAAGATAAATTACACTAAATGACGACCTTATGACAGCTAAAGGGCCAAACACCTGTCGATGTTAATTTGCTCCTTCCTTGCACGAAATTAAAGTTGCAGTTGAACTGTAGAAATGTCTGTCCTTGGATCAAGTTTTTCAATCACATTGTTTTACCAAGCTTCAGAAACTGGATGTTTTATATTTCCAAAGCTTGCCAACACACCTGCAGTGCTTTTGACCTATGCTTTATACTCTGGCAAGATAAACAAGGTTTTTTATTTGACCTTGCTCAAGCTTTTAAATGTTGCTTTCTTGCCCTTGTCATTGCTAACGACACAGCTGTATTTGATTTTAAATGTTCTTTTTGCAAATTGTTTATTGTGAATAAGGATGTTCCTTATCTAAAAGAACTCCAAAACATTAAAAAATATAAAGAAGTAGTGTAGCTGTTGTTTAATAGCTTCTATAGTCCATGTGCTCCTGACTGTTATGTCTAATATAATTACCAGAAGTCAGCACGAAATCTGTAGAATTCTAATGTCTTTTAAACCTTCTTGAATCCTGGTTATATTCTGACTTCCACAGAGTCTCTCTTCTATTGGGGAAATCCCCCAAATAGAAAACATTAGCACATTTTGATGATGTTATTGGCACATGAGAGGGCCTATAGTTCACCTTCTGGCCAAATAAATAATTACTAATCCTCCTCCTCTTTCTTGTGATATGGTCTAATAGGTCACTGGAACTGGATTTGTGGTAGTTGCCTTTATCAAACAAGTATTTGGGGGCTAGTAGTTCCCTCTTTTTGCAGTTGCTCTTCTCATCGCTCATGGAATTGTTTTTCCTTTTAAGCCATGAACATCTCAATTCATACTTGGACCTGTTGCCTGATTTCCTAAGCTGGTATTTAGAGTATTTCTCCTCCCCATCATGTTTCCACTTTGAATACAAGGTCTGCTGACTTGACCTAATTTCTTGATTGCAAGTGATGGTTTTATCAGTGTCAAGAGATCCTTTTTCTGGGACGCTTTCATATGTGACCACAGATTTCTCTTTCTCCTCTTGGTTTATGCTAAGGGTTTCATTGAAGCAGTCAGAGTCACTACTAATATCCTCTAAGAAATCTGTCAACTCCAAATGTAAGCCTGCTGACCTGTTGGGTGAGGAAACTTAGCTTTGACTTCTGGATTTGGAATCTTTGACCTGGTAAGCATGGGTCTTTTCCAACAGATGGCCCTTTCCATCAGCTGGAGTCAGCTGATCACCAACTTCATTGGCTGTGTCCTTACAATGATATTTAAATTCCTTCGTACGTTATTTGGTACAAGTCCCTTTTCCTCTTTTTTGTGATTTATGCACAGGACGCTGAGTACAAATCTTTCTCCTGTAATCATCTTCTTGAACTTGTTTTCTGCTTTCCAGGTTTTGCATTTGACTCAACCTGGTTGAGTGACACTTACACTTTCTCAAATTGATTTGAAATCCATTTCCTTGGCATGGATAGACCTCTGCCACTGACGTGTGCTTGTTGTGTGACTTGGTTCTAGGCAGACAGAGGCATATTTTGGAGTCTGATAGTTGTAATAGTTTAATAGGTAGTCAATAAATTCATCTGTTTCATAGATCTTCTGTTTCCTGCCATGGTCTCTCTTAGATAATTTGGAAGGATAGCATTTATTAGAACTCAGATGATTTTCTTTCTCAAGAAGCTGACCTTGAATTAATGTAATTTGTAAGGACTCCTGGTTAGAGACAAAACTGTGCCTGTATCCATCAGTTAATAATTTTCTAGTTTTCTCTTTTCTAGCTGAATATCTTTTTTGTATTTTCTGATGGTAGTTGGGAGATTTATGTAAGTGAGCCCCAGTTCCTTTCTTCATTTTTTGTGTTTGTTTATTGTCTGTATTGACAATATCAATTGACAACTGATATTTGGCATTTCCTCCTGATTTTGAAGATACTGCATATTTAACACTTTTTTCTTCAGCGTTTCCAATGTGTTCACCAGATCATGATTAGCTTCAGGGCCTGCAACATCTACCTCCTGTGTGGATTCCTTCAAAGAAAAAGGTTAAAAATCTCACATGAAAAACTAAACAGATTAAAAATTTCAAAGAAAATTGGGATTTTTGACACTGTTGTGAAGAGGCTTCTAATAACACCTAGAACAGATGCAAATTAGGAACAATATTGCACTGAGGAAACAGAAGGTACAAAATTAAATGTCTCAGTCTAATATGAGCTGCTTTTACTAGGTCTGTGCATCCTTATGTTAGAAGGCACCACGGTTTATGTATCTTCAAAGTACATGACCCTTTTTTATTTGTTCACAAACTGGGGATATGAAGAGGAATAAGAAGTGATCTATAGCCCTCCCAGAAAATTCTGGAACAAGAAAAGACTGGTGGGTGAAATGTGTATCTACAAGGGGGTCAACTGGCTTAAAAGATAACCTGCCTTTCTGTTTTTCATTCCAGCATCTTCCAGTGGATTGCAGGTGAGAGTGCCTCTGCCTGCCCTCAGTCAAAATCAACACGTCAAGTAGAAAATGTGGCCATAACAATGGTTCTATATGTGGTGCTATCAGCTTTTCACAACCATGGGGCAAGTGAAAGGTGCTGCCTACAGTCCCACCCTGCTGGGAGAGTTTGTACGGTACTCCCACTGACACCTGGCACAAATCAGAGTATAGTGCTTACTCATTACCTGGGATAAGAATGTGGGGACTGCATAATCCGTATAAGGTATCAATGGGACCAAGAATTAGGCATCACACACATTTAAAGACATACATTCTTTAAAAGGAATCACCCTCGGTGGTCATTAAGATAAACTACAAAAGATCCAATTAGCCTTATTATAAACGGAAATGTGATATTTTTCTGATCCTGATTTCACTATGTTTGTCTACACTCATGAGAAAAAGACTGAGACCACAAATAAACATTACATCAACTCTATCTAATGCTAATGCCATTTGTTCTTTGTATAGTATTTAAAAAACACTGAATACGGATTTGTAAATTAACAGTTTGGGAGCATTTCTGGCCTTTACTCTGGGACATCTGCCATATCTGATTATCTTTAGAAGGTCAGTAAGTGGGGGAGGGGGGAACTGCCAAAACTGGAACTTTCCAAACAAAACAATTGCTCTGTGGTGTGAGAAATTCCTTAGCAAATACTTTAAGACCAGACTAACATGAGCTTGCCACACAAAGTTCTCTGTTCAAGGCTCTCCCTTCTAATTCATACATGTTGCAGATAAATGAACAAGTAAAGTTAAGGAAGAGTACAAAACTAACACCTACACCATCCATTTTCCCCCCTGGCATTTTCTGTTAAATGCATTACGAACTCAGAAAAGTAGATACACTAGCTATACTGCCCTGGGTAAAACCGTCCTGAAGTTTAGCATCACAAAGTATACACTAGATGGCAACAATGAGACAAAACTTGACAGAATTTGGGTACCCCTTTTGTGAACCCATAATTGGGGTTATTGGAAATCAACCTATTGAAAATAAACCCCAATGAATGTGTTTTCCATGAAGTCTATTTTAAATAGGCAACTATTGGGTCTTCGGAAAAGTCATGATGCATGTTTGCAACAGATGGCACTAGTTCATTTTTGGAACTACTAGAGTCATTCACATCTATGTTATTGCTATGTCATTTGACAGCTGACAGTTTTAGCTTCATTCTAAAAAAAAATTGAGCGATTTGGTTGAATTTTGGAGATTTTACAAGTTGAAGATGGAAGACCAAACTGTGCATTTTTGCCATATTTTACTCTTTTACTTGCATAAAGTTTACAGTGACAATGTTCTACAAGAACGTCAGTGCCAACAATGGTTCACGGAAGTGAGTTTGGTGAGTTTGATCTCAGCGATGCTCCTCAGTCAGCGAGGCCCACCAAGGTTGATGATGACAAAATAAAGGCACTGATCGAGTCAAAACCACATTACATGACACAAGAGATTGCAGAAACATTGAACATCCATCATTCAAGTGTTCACGACCACCTGAAGAAGCTGGGATACGTAAGCAAGCTCAATATTTGGGTTCCGCATGAACTCAAAGAAGTTCATTTGATGGCGCATATAAAATCTGCAATATGCTCACTAAATGTGACGAAAACGATCCTTTTTTGAAGCAACTGATAACTGGTGATGAGAAGTGGATTGTTTGCAACAATGTGGTGCGCAAACAATCTTGGTCCCGACATGATGATTCACCTCAAACGACATTGAAAGCAGACATTCATCAGACGAAGGTTATGCTCTCAGTGTGGTGGGATTTTAAAGGTGTTGTGTTTTTTGAGCTCTTACCAAGGAACCAAACAATCAATTCAAATGTGTACTGTCGGCAATTGGACAGTTTGAACAAATCCATCATCCAGAAACGTCCAGAGCTTGTTAATTGTAAAGGAGTCATGTTCCATTGCGACAGCACGAGGCCGCACACACATTTGATCACCCGTTAAAAATTACTGGAGCTTGGATGGAATGTGTTGCCACACCCACCATACTCGCCTGACCTTGTGCCATCAGACTTCCACTTGTTTCGCTCTCTTCAAAACTCCTTGCATAGTATAACATTCAATTCAGATGAGGCTGGCAGTCAGCACCTTGTTCAGCTTTTCGCAAATAAAGACAGGTTCTTCTATGAACAAGGAATTATGAAACTCACTGAAAGATGGCAAAAGGTTATTGAACAAAACGGGCAATATATCATTGATTGATCTTTGTTCTTTATAAAAATAAATGACCTTTAAAAAACATAGACAAAATACATCATGACTTTTCCGCAGACCCAATACTTAAATTGAAAGCTTTTGTTTCAGAAAGGTCAGTACCTACCACAACTGAAGAATCAACAAATGGGAAAGAGCCTTATGTAATTTTCCTCAGGAGCACCTGTAGCAACCAAAAGGCCTCCAAACGCCTCTGAGCCAGCAGGAACTTTCTCTCCTCCCACTCCTCCGAAGAGTTAGGCTCCTGAGGCACCTCTACTTTGGCTCTGTCCCACCTGCTTCATCAGCGTCTGTCCCTTTCCTTCAAGGCTCGCCTCCTGACCCTGGCCTTCCTTCTCTTTTTCTGGGCTTTCCTCTCCTCTTTCCTTTTTCTGGACAATGATTAAATGTGAACCCTTCAGAAGGTATTTATTAGGCATTTGCTCTCCTCCCCACTCTTTCCTTACTGCCAGGCAGAGGGGGAGGGGGAGGGGGCACAACATGGACAAACAGCAGATCATTTAGGATTCCAGACCTCTCACTGCTAACTCCAAGGCCTGACAGAGACAACTGATGATAAAAGACATTGTGCCACATCCATCAAAGTGGAAAGACACATAATTGATTTGGTCAGTTAGAAGCATGTACAGGAGACGTTATACAGAGAGTATGAAAAAGAGATTACAGAATTCAAAGGAAGGGCCTCTAGCCCTCACTTTCTCAAATCACAGGAAGGAACACTGGATCAACTTTCACAGTAATTATTTCGTTTTTCTTGAGATCAAAACCTTCCTTGAGCTGGTTTCACATAGGCAAATAAACGTAAGTCAAGGCACTAGAAAACCTTAAGGATGAAAACTGGTCCTTGGTACATATTACCTAACACAGTACACTATCATAAAAACATACTGGCTTAGAAGAATAGGGACTTTTTTTTTAACCACTGCTTTTTGAAAATTCAAACTGTTTTGGTTAGGCCCTTATAAAAACATGGGAAGGGAGAAAAAAGGACAATTACCTGAGTGAGGACTTAGCCAAAAGCTGGAGGATTGCCTAAACTGCATGTTCAGGCTAGAAATGTGGTGGGAATAGTTACATTGACTGGGCTCAAATTCTGGCCAAGTTTCACAGGTGTAACCAACTTCAAGCAACTCCTATCACCTTGCCAGCCAAAAAAAGTGAGAGGCACAGGAAGGATACTCTTTATCTCCCTGTTTGAATGGCTATAATTTACATGAAAGACTGCAAGAATAAACATGCAAGGGGAGGGGCCAGGAGGTAAAACTGGTTTTCAGAACCCTGTAGCTCTGGCCCATTTGTACCCTCTTGGAAAACCATTGACAAAACAAATAGCCCTTCCTAGTCTCAAGCTCCTAAGGAAACAATGATAAGCTCAAAGAAATAAACATGGACACTCTTTAAATTCACAAAAGGAACTTAGGCCAATGAGAAAAATAGTCCCAACTAATCCATACCTTCTTGCCTGTGGGCTTGTTTGAATATTGATCATTCTATGGAGGAAAACCTTCTCCAGACCTAAAAAGATTTTTTTTTACATTTTAGATTGGCAGGCTAGGTAAAACTTGGTAAATTATAAGTAAATCGGTAAAAAATTTTAATTTAGTAGGTTTCAATTTTCACTATAAAAGTTCCTGGTCCTTTTTTTTTAATAATTTCTTTCCAGACAGCTTAATCTGGCTAGTTCCATTATTTCTCATTACTTGTTCTCCCTGACAAGAACACTTTCTTTTAAAGTCTCTTGTTTCCAACTGTTTTTGTCATTTTGGTTTTGTAACACACAGTTAAAAGACAGTGGGCTTCCATGGAGCTCTCCAACCCGAACCAATTCCTGCCCCCCTCCCCACCGCAATGTTATCTATATCAAGTTTAGCCATTTACCCAAAGGGATAAATCCATAAATCAAACGTAAAAAACCTTTGTTCAAGTTGGACTCCTTACTTTTCAGCCTCTTCCTCTTCTCTCTTCTTTTGTTTTTTCCTTTCTTCTTCCAGCTCTTGTAATTTTAGACTTTCTTGATCTCTCCTCTTTAAAGTTCCTTCACTGAAGTGTTTGGTTGTATCAAACAAAACCTGCTGCAAAACAATTCAAAGTTTCATTAGAAAATTTTGCCAGCTGGTTTTGTATATCCCAGGCTAGAGACATAAAACTAATATTGACATGGCAATTCAAAACCAAATGAATTAAAAATGTTCTCTCTGTAACCTAGTACCCATACTGTACCTACCACTGCTTCACACGAACCTTCCAAACAGTTCTGTGGGACCCAGGATTTTGTTTGGCAGAACCATGAGGAGCTCACTTTACAGTCATAGGTGACATCACAAAGCCATTATGGGCACAGGCTCTTATGGGCACAAGCTGGGCAGTGGTATATGGGTTGTCATTATAATATTTGCTATATCATTTGTCTGACTCAATAGCTCATAATTTTAAAATGTACATTTTAACGTAAGAAGCATCACACATAATACACACACAGACACACACACACACACACACACACACACATACACTCACTCATATACAGGAAGCTACTTAAACTGAAAGTCCGAATTCATGCTGAAGACTGATTTAGAGAAAAAGGAGCATCTAAAAGTGTCGTTTCCTCTGCTGGATTAAGATTTCAAGAAGGAGATGACTAAGCAAGCATTCAGATATCAATGAGGTGACATGACTGGATAGTCAGGCTGATTTTCAGAGGAAAGGGTCCAAGTTTGTTGGGATTATGTTTTAGCAATTTACCTGACAAACATCCTGAAAATACAAGTTGTGGTCCCAATAATAAAAAGGGAGTAAACTGTTTTCCTTGTAATTTCAAACTGCACGTATTCCTCTCTCTCAGCAACTTGTCAAGTAGAATAAGTACCTGAGATACTTTCATAAGGGCCATGAAGCATCCTTTAATACCCTCAAGAAGTTAGGGCAGAGCCCCAGATTATAACAACCATTACTTTAAAACCACAGCTGGCAGCATGCCTGATTGCAGAAGAATGCTGAAGTCAAGATTATTTTTCTTCCTACACGTCCATTTATTAATGACAACACAAATTTTATATTAGATATTGATCAGAGCCTAGTGGGGTCTATGGAAATTTATTCTAGATGCGTCCTTCTAGCTTTTACTTAGGATGACCAGAACAGTGGGAAATAAAAGAAACTCTGGCTACTTCTTACCTTAATGTTACATGCCAGAGCTTTCCCTTCCTCCCCTTTAAGCATCAGCTTCATGCCTCGAAGGGACTCCATGGCTTTTATGAAGTCAGTTGACTCCTGGTACTGTATAAAAGCCTCAAACATCTCCAAGCAGAAGCTAAAGCCCCCAAAGCTCTCACCAGTCATTGCCTCTCTGTAGGGGTCAAGCATAGGGATATCCACATTCTTGATCTTCCCAAAACACTCAAAGACCACCCGAAGAATCTCTTCACATGGCTTTTCCCCACTGGAACCTTTAGGTGCAAACCAGTTGCAGGGTAAGCCTTCAAAATGTATGGAATCCAGGCTCTTATCACGGCCCTGCTCATCAGCTCCATCACTTGATGGGGTTTCCTGTTCCTTGGAGAAGCGCTCCCACTCTCCTTGGGCATCTGAAGCCACTACTTTCAAGTCTGTTTTCAAACCATTTAGCTTGATGATCTTCCCATGTAACTTTGCCTTCAGGATCTGAATCAAACTTCATGTTTCAGCCTGCCCCTCAAATCAGATGAAGTCCTTCGTACTCTTGGAAAGCTGAACTGTGGTGAACTGATCAGGGCAAATCAGGCTCTTCAGCTGGTCAAGGACTTCCCAGTTCAAGAAAGGCCTCATAGGTTCTGTACTCTCTGGGAGCAATACACTGATCATCAGTTTTGCTATGGGCTTCAGGTAGAGTTGTTGAGCTGCATAGGGATCTGTTGCCTCAGTTATCATACACCACGGTTACCATCATCGTATCCTCAGGAAACCTCAGAGGGCAAAAGAGAACAATTTCATACAAATGGAGCAAAGCACAGATTTGGATTTTGAATGGTGCTGGACTTAGGTCAAATTGAGAGGGGAAAGGCTACTATAGGGAGAATTAAGACAATAGCTTACATTTGTTTAATGTGTTTTAGGTTTCAAAGTTTCTATACACTGTGTCTCGGTTTCCTTAACTGTAAAACAGAAATAGTAGTGTTTCAGGGAGGATGAAATGAGTGAGTACGTGTAAAATCCTTAGAATAGTGCCTGGCACACAGGAATTTTTCAATAAACATAAGCTATGACTACTATTTATTCTAATTTATATCCTTTGATTCATGAAGCAACCTGTGAGTAGGTATTTTCATGTCTGTTTTACTGATGGGGGAATTCAGACAGATTCAGGAAAATTAAACAAGCTCCCTATACACTGGGACCCCAAGATTCCATATCTCCAATCTATTGTATAATTGATCTCAAATATAAAGCCCCATAAAAACCTACTGGGGGTGGCACAGAAACAGGGCAAGGATAAAATACATGTAGCACATTTGTGAACATGCACCCAGCTGATTTAGCATCCTTTGCTCAGGTTGGTTTCTAAGTCTTACATGAAAATATCTACTCTTATTCTTCCAGTCTATTGACTTTAACTAAACTGAACTTTAAGTTCAAGTGAAGAGGAGACAATCTTTTCTAAAAGTGACAAAGTGAATTTGTACTCTACTTTTGGACTAGAAAAATCCCAAAACATGAGTGTTTGCTGGCATTCATATTAACAAACTCTTTTAAGTTGTTCTAAGGTGAATAAGATCACTAATACTGGGAATTAGGGATTTCTGCTCCTATTTGCTGACTTGAAGCAGCACTTCCCAATAAAAGAGTTTACTTTTTCTAAAAGTGAATGTATTCAGAGTCTACATCACCAGAGTTTCTCATTAATGTCAACTTAGGGGAGATTTAGGCCCAAATATATATGGCCAGATGATGGAAATTCTAACACAAAATTTACTACTAAATCTTGGTTAACATTATAAGTACATATTTCTTTTGTTTGTTTGTTTGTTTAGCTTTTATTTCATAATCATAAACTTAACTCTGCAACCCAGGCTATACTTGGAGGGGGCAAGGAAAATATGGAACCCAATGAGCTGCAGCGAGAGCACAAAGATAATGGGGTGTTCCGAGCAGATGGGGCAGGGGTGCTCTCCTGACTACAGAAGGAATGGTCTGGTTAAGATAAAACCAGTCAAATGCATCAGAGTTGTCCACAGTCAGCAATGGTGATCTTCTTGCTCATCTTGCCATTTCTGGACCCAAAGTGCTCCATGGCTTCCATGATATTCATGCCGTCTTTCACCCTGCCGAAGACCACATGCTTGCCATCCAACCACTCAGTCTTCGCCGTGCAGATGAAAAACTGAGAACCGTTTGTGTTGGATCCAGCGTTTGCCATGGACAGGATGCCAGGACCTGTATGCTTCAGGAGGAAATTCTCATCTTCAAACTTCTCCCCATAGATGGACTTGCCACCTGTGCCGTTATGGCGTGTAAAGCCACCACCCTGGCACATAAATCCTGGAATAATTCTGTGAAAGCAGGAACCCTTATAACCAAATCCTTTCTCCCCAGTGCTCAGGGCACAAAAGTTTTCTGCTGTCTTTGGAACTTTGTCTGCAAACAGCTCGAAGGAGACACGGCCCAAGGGCTCGCCATCGACGGCGATGTCGAAGAACACGGTGGGGTTGACCATGGTTGAGCGGAGGGAGGTCCGGGCGGCGGCGTCTGGAAGGCCAAAGTACATATTTCTTTAATAACTGTCCCTGAAGGACAATCCAAGTCCTTTTGGACAATCCAAGTCCTTTAAAAGACCACCAAAAGCAGTATCTGAGATACTAGGTTCTAGAAATCCTTAAGATAGCAACACTGAACTGAGATGACATGAGCATGTTCTCTTTCTCCAAAAACATTATCTAACTAGCAAAATGGAGAAGAAATCCAGTAAGTTTGCTGCAATTTGCAACATAAGAGTCAACACTAAGTTCCTTTAGGAGAAAAATTCATTTGAAATTCAATTAAGATATACTGAACCAAAAAATTTATCTATAGTCAATAGGTATTTACTTATACAATGTAATTCAAAGCAATGTTGTTTTAAAAAAAATATTCCAGAAAAAGTACACACAAAATAGTTAGTCACGTCAAAGTATTCAGGTTTGTCATGCTCTCCATTAATTCCAGTGATACTCCCTTTGTTTTAAACATTTTAGAATGCTTCTCTTGAATTGATTTCAAAGTCGGTTACATTCTTTTATTTATTTATTTATTTTTAAAGATTTTTATTGGGGAATTGGGGGGATGGGAACAGTGCTGGGAATTGGGGGAAGGGGAACAGACAAGTTGCTGTCCTTTTGTTCTTCAGTCTAGTTGTGGAGGATGTCGCTTCACTGGCCCAAGTTGGCACCATCATTGCGCTCTTCCCAGGCGAGGCAGATCAGTCGCCGGCTTCTGGACGGCCGCTCACTGCGGCTGCTGGCCGCTCACGCTGGCTGCTGGCTACACACGGTAGCCCATGGCAACCCACTGCCACAGAGGCTGCAGCCTATGCTGTCGCCGGCAACTCACGGCAGCCCAGCTCCAGGTTGAGCTGTTGTTCAGCATCTTAGCTGTGGAGGGCAGTGTCACTGGCCCTCATATGTGGGATCCGAACCGGGGTCCTCTGGTGTCCCAAGCCAGTTCTTAACCATCGCGCCACTCGGCCGGCCCTCCATTCTTTTTTTTTTTTTTAAGATTTTTATTGGGGAATTGGGGGGATGGGAACAGCACTGGGGAATTGGGGGAAGGGGAACAGACAAGTTGCTGTCCTTTTGTTCTTCAGTCTAGTTGTGGAGGACGTTGCTTCACCGGCCCAAGCTGGCACCATCATTGCGCTCTTCCCGAGTGAGGCAGATCAATCCTCGGCTTCTGGACAGCCGCCGGTCCTACATTCTTTTAAATAGCCTTGATGGAGGCCAGTTTCAAAATTCTTTTATCATGAATTTGATATTTACAAATCATCAAAAATGATCTAGAATCAAGAATGTTGGATGGGGCCGGCCAAGTGGCACATTGGTTGAGAGCTGGCTTGGGACACCAGAGGGCCCGGGTTCGGATCCCACATATGAGGGCCAGTGACACTACCCTCTACAGCTAAGATGCTGAACAACAGCTCAACCTGGAGCTGGGCTGCCGTGAGTTGCCGCGACAGCGTAGGCTGCAGCCCCTGCTGCAGTGGGTTGCCATGGGCTACCGTGTGTAGCCAGCAGCCAGCGTGAGCGGCCAGCAGCCAGCGTGAGCGGCAGTCCAGAAGCCGGCGACTGATCTGCCTCGCCCGGGAAGAGCGCAATGATGGTACCAACTTGGGCCAGTGAAGCAACGTCCTCCACAACTAGACTGAAGAACCAAAGGACAGCAACTTGTCTGTTCCCATCCCCCAATTCCCCAATAAAAATCTTAAAAAAAGGTGTTATCTTTAAAAAAAATGTTAGACAAAATGGATGACTACAAAGAACAAATTTCTTAATTGACTTATTGTAACCGCTCGTAGGAGGACATTCCAAGAAAGGCTCTAAATAATTATTTTATTTCTTTTTATTAGTTTCAGGTATACAAAGCAACATAATAGTTAGACATTTACACCCTTCACATAGTGATAACCTCCCTCTAATTAATTTCTTTAATTAGTGGGTACATTTTTGGAATGGGTACAGAGCTTTGAAAGATGACAACCTGAAGGACAACATTCATATCAATGTTGTGGTACAATAGTTGCAAAAATGATCCCAATTTTCCACCCCTTCCTGTACCTACAGCCTTTGTAATGTGACTTTGAGTTATCTCTGTCAACAGATAGAATCCATTCATTCCCCAGCCCTGAATGTGAGCTGGTTGGTTGGTGTTTTCTTTTTTTCCAATAGAATGTGGCAGTAGTTACCAAATGCCAGATCTAAGCCTAGGTGTCAAGTGGCCCTTACTCTCCTGGAATTCTGCCATGCCATGAGGACAAACCTGGGCTAGCCTGTTGGAGGCTGAGAGGCCACATGAAGAAGAGCCCACTTGTGACAGATGGCCACCCTAGACCAGCCAGCCCCCAGCCAACCCACCATGTTACCAATGGCACATGAGCAAGCCCAGCCAAGATCAGCTGGAGCCCTCAACAGATCAGGAGAACAGTCCTGAGAACCTACAGACTTGTGAGAGCTAATCAATGCTTGTTGCTTAAGTCAATAAGTTTGGGGATGGTTTGTCATACAACAATAGCTAACTGATGATACAAACATCTAAATTTTAATTAGTTTCAAGATATATAATTCCATTTGATAGTTTTCACACAAATAAAAATGATAAAAACCCATTCCTGAGAGAGTTTTGGGAAGAAAGAAAAAGCAGGCATCTTCATATCTTGCTAGAGGTAATGTAAACTAGTTACATCTTTTTCCAGAATAATTCAGCAAAACAAACCAAGAATCATAAAAATTCTTACCCCCTTGGATCCAGTAACCTGTTTTAGAAACTTATCCTAGGGAAGTAATTTAAAATTAACAAAGAACATGTTCAAAGCTACGTATTACAGTGTCATTTTAGATACATTTTTTTTGTCAAAACTATGTATACATAGGAATAAAGTTCATAAATTGAGTTACAATTTTTTTGCAAAGTG